AATCCTGATTTCGGAGAAAGTTTCTCTGTTCTTTGCAAAAGTACAATGCGAAAATCATTTTCATTAATTTTGGATGAACAAACTAGAAATGTTATTGAGGCATATGTGAGAAAGAACACTATTTACTTGCTCAAAAAACCCAACAATATTTTTGTATTAAACAAACTAAGTTTATGGTGTTTTGATAAAACACAAGCAAATTCTGCATTGGCTAAAAATGGTAAAAATAAAAGGATCACAACTAAAGTGACTCATGTTTTGGCTTGCTACAAAGATAATCCCCCCCCCCCCTATAAAAAACTGACTTGGCCGATTGATAAAGGACCATATAATTTACCAATGAACACCCATAGGTGTCAGGCCATGTCATGATGTAATGGAATGGTGTTTAATTTACTTCACGTTGCTGTACATTGAACTGTATGGATTACATACAAAGCAAACACTGAAAGTGTGGCAGGAACCCCTACACAGACATGCCAAAAAATATGTCCATGGTGTCCAACTATACATCAAACGCAATAACCCTGATGTCTGCCAAAGTAAAGCAAATAAAAGAGTACTACATCTGGATTGGTGTTTAATTGTCAAATTTATTTTATTCATGTGAGGAACTACTATGAGATGGTTAAGAATCAGTATTTCAGAAGACTACTATATTAGGGAATAGGAAGCTGGATGATCGTTAATGCACATTTTGCTAAATACGATCATTTTGAGAATATTACAGGTATCATGGCACACACACAGCTGGACTACCATTGTCCCTCTTCATCCCCAGATGAGCACCCTGTTCTGCTTCTCTGGTTTCTTTCTTCCGCATGTAAACACACCATGTCGCCTCCTCAAAATTCACCCATCATACTCCTGTCATTCCTGTCCAATTTTTCAGCACTTAGTCCCACTGACGCAGCGCTCTATCTTCCAACTATTCTCTTGGATTTCTACAATTTGGCTTCCATCTTATTCATTCCACTGAAACAGCCCCCACCAAAATAATTCATGATCTTCAACTGTTAAGTCTAAGGCCGAGTTCAGATTGGCCGTTTGCCCCGATATACGCGTGTATCAGAAACGTTCCACAACTGGATTAAATGGGCCGTTCACACAGGCACATCTGTCATACATTCCGCACCAGTACTCAACCTGTCTTGTAACGCTTCGCTCCCGAGTTTAAAAGATACTTGGTGAAAGTGGTAGCAAACCCTGGAAAGCGCGATTATCCCGTATCCATCCCACACCAACAAAGTATGAATGCCAAAAGCTGCATTTTTCTTATGCGCTCATGCTGCACCTTACAGCCGTGCCTCCGGGCCAACAGTGTGAACGCTCCCTTGTGCCTCCTCCTGGTATGCTCCCGCATCAGTCGCTGCAGTGTGCTACAACTCCCTCCCACTTCAAACTGCCCCTCTGAACTCAAACTAAATGTTTCTCATCTGGCTTTATTCTCCTTGACTTCTTTGCTGCCATTGATACACTGCAGCATCAACCTCTGCTATTTGACTTCCTTCATCTCCTAAGCTTTCATGACTCTATCCTCACTGGGTTCTCTTCCAAACTTTCTAATTTATCATTCAGTGTTTCCACAAGTAAAAGATTTTATTTCAGGTCTCTCAAGTTCTTGGTCTTTTGTTATTCTCTCTCTACACTTTTACTCTTATTGAATTCATAACTTTCATTAAGACTTGCCTCTGCACTGCACAGGTATCTTTATCTATTAATTTTATTCATTTCTATCCCGCCCTTCTTCCCAATCCTCCATTTCATACTCACAACAACCCTGTGGAATAGGTTATGAAGAGAGTGTGTGACTGGCCTAAGGTCACTCTATAAGCTTATGGGGCACAGTGGACATTTGAACCCTAGCCTCCCAGACCCTAGTCCGACACTCTAAACATTACACCACACTGGGTCTCATCCATTCAATCCCATATGTCCAAATAATGTCTAGCAACATCTAATATGTGTGTGTGTACGTATATGTAAAGACTGAACTCCTGATCTTTTCTTTCTACCCCAAGACTTCACCTTTTCGATTACTTCACTGAATCTATGACAACATTATTATCTATTGTCTAAACCAAATAGGCAGCTCTGGTTTTATCTTTGATTCTCCCCTCTCATATACTCCTCATGTTAAGGCCATTGCCACTGCAAACTGCAGTTTCTCCCTGACAAACACTGTGATAATATGGGTCTTCCTTTCTGACCCATCAGCAAAAATTCTGGCTAAATCTCTGACAACTCCCACTTTGATTACTGCAATCTTTTGCTCCCTTGTCTTCCATTGTCACTCCTCAGCCCTCTGCAAATGACCTCTTTCATTGTACAGACCATATGATGTCCCTCCTTAAATGCCTACTCTGGTTTCAAGTTATCTTCCATTTCCCTCTGTGACGGCACTCTTCCATTTCTCTGCTATCATATCCTGATATATTCCTGTCCTATATTTATTCTTCCGTCTACTCTAGCACTAGCCATCTGAAGCAGCCCAGTCAGGATTCCAGCAAAAAAGAAGCAGGCTAAGAAATGCAAAGGCAACACTGACAGCATCTTGCCCAAGTGCTCCCCCAAAATGGGAGCCAACAGAGACAACAACAATACAGTCTCCCAAAATAAGCAGCAGATATTTTTTATTTTCTATATATTTTGCAGGCTTTCATCACTGGTGGCAGCTCAGCGATGTAACTGCCTCTCTGTTATGATCCCCCTAACTCCTTTTTCCCTGTTACATGTTAGGTTCCAGGGCAAAATGTCATTATTCACACAGGCATGTATTGCCTAATTCCTCCCACACACACTTCAATGATTACTATTTCTTTCATGATTATTATTCATGTTTCATGGTTATTGCAATTTTGCATGGTTGATCTTTTTCACAAGTGGTTAAGACGCTGAACTGCAGGCTGTGGAAGTTCGAGACCTGAGTGTGCTGCATGACGGAGTGAGCTCCCGTCTCTAGTTCCAGCTCCTGCCAACCTAGCAGTTCGAAAGCAAGAAATTGCAAGTAGATAAATAGGTACCACTTTGGTGGGAAGGTAACAGCATTCCGTGCACCTTGGTGTTTAGTCATGCCGGCCACATGACCACGGAAACATCTTCGGACAGCGCTGGCTCTTCAGCTTTGAAACAGAGATGAGCACCGCAACCCTAGAGTCGGATTCGACTGGCTTTCGAGCAAGGGAACCTTTACCTTTACTTGTGAAGTTTTCACTATTTATATAGTAGAAGTTTATGAAGAAATCCTATGCAGAATTAATCTAATTTGACATCAGTGGATTTAGATTTGAGTAGCTCTGCATAAATTTGCACTATGAAAAGTTCAGTTCCTGTTCCATTGTTTTCAATGGGTCTTAACTGTGATAAATTGGATTCTGCTCAGGTGAACTGTAAACATATAGACAAGTATGTTAATGTATGACAAAGCAGGGCTCTTTTTGTAGCAGGAACTCATTTGCATATTAGGCCACACACCCCTAATGTAGCCAGTCCTCCAAGAGTTTACAGAGCTCTTCTTACAGGAGCTACTGTAAGCTCTTGGAGGATTGGCTACATTAGGGGTGTGTCGCTTAATATGCAAATGAGTACCTGCTACAAAAAGCCCTGTGACAAAGTATGCTAAAACTTACGGCTAGCAGCACAAAGACTTTCTTTATGCTGTATTAAAATAACAATTGTACATGCTTTCATAGAATGTGCAGAAATTTTATTTGCATCCATATTTGATTCATTTTGTTCATCAATATTTATTATAGTTATTAAATATGTTCATTTAGGGTTTTTTTCTTGTCTTTTATCCATTTCCATTTTTTAAAATGGGAAACAAATTTCTGGCTGTACTTTTCTGGTTTTGTATTTAATTGGGATGATTCTCAAAGATTATTTCCCTGGCAGACGGAGAACTGATGCCCATTTTATATTTCTCACCTGCTGACCAAGAGCAAGAGACATTTCAAACAGCAAGAAAGTCAGATACTGTTACACAATAGTCACAGAGGCTTGTATCTGACACCCCAAGAAGCCAGGCACTTAGTCACGCACTTAGTTACACACTTCTTTGCAATTGCAAAGCAATAACATTTATAGCATGCAACTGAGAATCTGTCACTGCCCATTCCCAGACAAGTGGTAAATGGATAAACGAAGAGAAATACCAGTATTCTGTGTTTATGTAGCATTTGGAAAGCACTGACTGCTAGAAATACTGTGCAAAGAAAGGAAACATATCAGTACAATTCCCCTGGGTGGTAAGGTCAGTGCTGGTTGGTCAATATTCCTGTCAGTCTCTTTCATTTTGTGATGGTTCACTCCCTACCCTATTCTTCCTTCATATTCTTCCTCCTGTGCTTTATGCCTTGTGAAAATGAACCACTACCACCCTGATGCCCAAATGGAGAGGATTAACTTCCTTCTCTATTAGACCATAATATGGATATTTCTTTTAGTTCAGATTAGCTATAACAACTATAGTAAAGGGGTGTGTCTGGTTCAGATTATGGTTAGCTTTTATCTGAACCCATTCCATAGATTATGAGCTAAATTTAATAAAATTAAGCCATAAACTGTAAATAAAAATAACTGTTACTATCTTTCATCATCTACCATCGTATTAGTACTAGCAGCGAATACAGAAATTCCTAAACAATAATCTTAATCTTTTCTGAGCAAACCCCAAATTCTCCATATTATGTGAAGTGAAGGAAACTAACCATTCCCAGTGTTGTATGGAAGAGAGACTGTCATCCTGATTGCAGCTTCATGTATGGCTAGTGTTTATCTAATTTACAAGAATCTGTCTTATTAATAAAAATGCACTGCAACAATAGCCTGTCTTCTGCTAATGACAGCCAGAAAATGTGTGAGCAGAGTTTGCAAGTCCCCCTTAAGTATGTATTTAAATTCATTATAGGTTAGTCTTGACAACAAAAAAAATGGCATCAAAACATCTTCAGTTATGAACCAGATTTTTAAAAAGCCAAAAGTCTTAAAACAAAACTTACTTCCCAGAGGTGCTGCGTATTCCTGGTTCCTCCAGTCTGCACCTTTTCTGGAAGAAGAAGAACTCCTTGGAAGGGCCCAATCCAGGTGCCCTGCTGAATCCTCTGGGCAGCACAAATGCCATAAGCCAAACCAGGCACAGTGCTGGTGCATAAACACACTTCCCGTGGCAGATCCCGAAGCCACTCGGGAATCTCAGGTGGAGGTGCCGCTGCTGCAGCGCTACTAGTGCCCACCAGGCGGCGCAAAGAGTGCAGAGGACCATGCATGGGGCATTCTCCATTACGGTTATCAGCACACATATCACATCCTGTGAAGCAAAGAGGAAAATAATTAAAATCGGCTAGGCAGAATGAGGCTATTACCATTACAAGCTTTGGATACATCCACTAATTCTTAAATACTGACAACAGAACACACATAAACCTGCTGGATTATCTTTTCTCATAAAACAACCAAGAACATAGGCTTTAGAGGTTGCTCTTAAAACGGAGTAACCCCATCTGGGATTTAGAAGAAATACGCTCAATTCAAATGACATCAAATAATGACTTAAGGGCAGTATTCTTGGGTGGTTTCAGGATTCATTTTCTAACTCCAAGCCATATTTCTCTTTTGTTAAATAGTTTCTGGGCCAACCCACAGCTTGCTCATGGATACTGGTAGTGCAAGCTTCAACGTAGTGACACCCTTCTAAACCCATCAACATTATCCTGATTACAAGTGTACAACAGGTGAGTAAACTGAGGATATAGTGATGTATTTCAATCAATCATTTAAAACCATTTGCGTGTAGCAGAAGCCTCCTTTAATATTTGAGCAATTTTGATGTTAACCATTTCCCTGTCATTAATTCCTAATCAAATATATCTCTCTTGTCTGGATTAACTGGGTTATGATGAAATACAAAAACAAGAAGCTCTCTTTTACTGAATCAGACCATTGGTCCGACAAGGGCAATACTGTCTACTGAAACTGCCAGTGACACTCCAGGGTCATAGGCAGAGGTTTTTCACATCACCTACTACCTTATTCTTTTAACTAAAGGTGCCTGGGATTTAACCTGGGACTTTCTGTATACCAAACATGTGCTCTGCCACTCAGCCTCGGCCCCTCCCCATTAATGGCTGGTCTTCATCCATATTCAGACTACTGTTGCAGTACATTCTTATTAATAAAGCTGATTCTTGAAAGTTAGATAAAGACTAACAACTGGGTTATCTTTCGGATGTATGTGGAGAATTTCCAGTTGCCAGTTGTGCCCTCCACAAGATGAACGTGTGGTAAAGGTTACATAAGCATAGGTCTCAAAGCTTTGGCTGGCCAAAACACATTCCTGGCTTTTATTTAAATGATTTTAACCAGTTATTTTGTTTCATGTTATGTTTATGTCAACTTTATAAATCACAAGTATTATTCATATATTTTCCTCTTTGAGATTTCAGTTAAACTAAAATGCCTCAAATAGTTTTTTTATTAGAATATTATCATAGATGTACTTAATATTTTGTATTTTTACTATATTAATGAAAGGAATTTTAGAGATTTTATTTTCTCCATTTCCTTTTAATTGTTTTCATGTTCTTGACATGCAATTAAGGTCAAAAGTACATGTATGTATGTACAGAAAATAGAAAATGAATGCATTTGAATCAATTACAATACATGGCACATTTTTACATTATAATACACATATTTCAAACAACTCTGTTCCAGGAATATATTCAAAAAGCAAAGCTTCCTCTTCATTACTTATGCAGCAGTTCTTGGGCCCGAAAATTATGCATCACACAATTCCATGAAGCTAAAAATAAAGCAAAATGTTGCAGGTTTCAAAGGAGTTGGTGGTCTAAAACACAAATCTGGAATAAGTAAGCAGCTGAAACCACAGGCTGAACTCACAGTAGGACTGATGTAAGATATACTTCAGTATTGCGAGCCCCAACTCCTGCTGACCCTGCACTGGCGGGAGGGGGCTGATTTGCCTCCTCGTGAGGCATGAAGAAAAGGGCACCAGCGTTGCAAGAAGCACAGCGCCAGGCAGGGGGCGGAGCCAACCTATTTAGGCTCGGCTCCCGCCCTCTGCCTCAGCAGTTCTTCAACGTGCTCGGCCCACCCTCCTGCCCTATTTTAGTGCAGGTTTCAACCGGTTGCCTTTTAATGGGGCCAGGTAGGAATTTTTTCACCCCTTTTTCGATTTGGCTTCAGACGGAGGGGTGTTTTTTGCCTACCTTGCACTGAGGATGGTGGTGTTGGGAAATTGGCTTTGGGGGGCCGTCGTTTGCTAAATAGGATGGTCACTTTGTGGTTAGGCGAGGTAGCGCAATCAGGAAGTTGAAAACGGTGAACACCTGGGCATTGTTATAAAGGAATTAAAGGGTCCTCCAAGAATGGCTTTCAGGCCTTTGTGGCTCAAGGTCGGGAATGGGGTGGTCTTCCTTAGAACAATCTGGCCCGGCCTATCTCAGCAGGCCTTGCGGCTTCTGGGGTGGTGGGCCAGGGGGTTCTCCTAAATATGCCAAGCCGCTGGTTGAGAGCTACATTGGGTGGCTCGAGATCAGGGAAGGTGCATCGACCAGAAGGAGATGAAGGTGGTCATGAGTTTGACACCGTTCATATTCCTCAGTACATTTTTAGCAGAACCTCACCAGTTGTTTGATTATAAATAATTAATAAAGTAGCCCTTGTTAAATCCATATTGGTGACTGTCTCTTCATTCCGACTGTGGAGGCAATGTTATGGTGTAAGAATCTTGCAGAGTAAAAAACCTTATCTACTTAGCACAAATATGAGTCATATTACTAAAGTGTGGCCTTTATTTGGGTTGTTGATAAATTGTGTGTATATATTGTGGGTCACTCTATCATCTATTTATTTTAGGATTATTTTCACTCTGAAGGCTCAGAATAGATTACATATATTTTTACAATACCAGGATGTACAGTAAATTAGATTAGACATATGAAATTATGTCTTTAAATTATATCATGGATTTGAAGATTCCATTAAGAATTTGCTGCATAATTACTAGTGGAGATGTAGCTATATCATCCATCTCTTGAACATATGTTCTCACAAAAACTCAGATGAACCCAACATGTGGCCATTATTGATATTTTTTGTTTGTTTGTTTCATTACATATCACAAACTGCCTTTGAAAGTCCCTTAAATTTCAAAGCAGTTTTCCGTGAAACATGGGAGGCTGCCATTTGTGGAACATAACTCCAAAACACTCTTGGGTGTACAGAAAAAGCCACATTGTTCTTTGGATCACAGCCATGTTTTTGGTAATCAGTCCACTTGGAGAGATGAATACTTGCAAGGAAATGTGTTGTAAGGATGGCAGCTATAGCTTCAGAAGTGGAAAGAATCTGCTTGTGGTCAGAGCTTTCATCTCATTCCACAACCCAGTTAAAGTGAAATACTTGAAGTAAATTTAATTCTGTGGCTTCAATGGGATTTTAACTGACTCAGATCCAAGTTTTTGTACTTACAAGGTGCATTGGTTTTAACAGGTGAACAGTGAAACCATTTTTTCTCTCAATATCTGTTCATCACCCACATAGTCAAAATACAGACCATTGCTTGTATTTTGGACTCATGTAAAGTGTGGTTTAAAAAATATATAATAGTTCAGATAAACACAGTACATATATATAGTTTCTGTAGAACTGGATTTTAAAAACTAGAATCACAGAAAAATATTTTTGAAAGCACACAGAAGTAAATTCCGATGTTATTTGATTCCAACGAACATTCTTAGAACTGAAGTACCAGGTTACAATCCTCAAATTTTTAAACCATCAGCTTTAAACTCAGTCTTGCTTAGAATCACTGTTTATGACGGTAGACAATGAGGCTTTAGGAAATGAGACTGAAATCCTATGAACATGTACTTGGGAATAAGCCCTACTGCACTAAACAGGACTTGATTTTACTTTTGAATAAACATGCATAGAATCAGGTTGCATTTTCAAGAATTACACTGTGTGAAATTACAAGGAGGTGTGTGAACAATGAAGCCTAGGCAGGAAGACATCTTAGATCTAAAAAATTTCAGAAAAGTGCTCACTACTGCTTTCCCCCCAAGACTGTTAAAAACGTTTATTTACTTATTATCATCAGTTACTTATAATCTACAAAACAAAATAATCAAGGAGGGCTATCTTTAAAAATCATGGACTTTTTAAAAAAACAATTTTTCCCAATTTGCAATAAATATAATCACATATTCTGTCTAATAATCTGTGCCAAACTTTTAAAGCAAAATATAACAACAACAACAATAATAATCCCAATCTTTTCTCTGTTGTAAACCATAAATTTATACTGGCTAATCCCACTTGCTAAAATGGTATTCTTCAGATACAAAATAACATAAATTATAGAAAAAGGTCTACAGATTCTTCTAAATCTTTGTGTTCTAACATATAAAACTAATACCCCTTCAAAACCAGGTTTATGAAATGACTGGCCAAGATTTTAGCAATTTCTCAAAGGAGACCCTTGATTCGGGAATAATTTGTTCCCTGCTGACAATCTTTTAGATGTGTAACCTCCTCCCAGCTTCCTGGTTATTAATGGCTCTCTTGGAGACACCCTGTCTACTGAACAGTTTCAGTTAAATGAATCCAAAGCATCTTTTTGGTTCCAGCAAGGAAGCTTCAGGATCAGACTTCTGCACTCCACCGCTAGATATGTAACATCATTCACTTTTACTCATGTGTGACTTTTATAATCTGCAAACAAGAGAAAAATCTAGGATGGTGATACATGCTGGGACTAGAGCCACATTTTAAAATATTTTCCTCCTCACCCCACTAAGAAATAAAGACCAATATTATGAATCAGAAAAACAATTACAGACGATATGTCAATGGTTATGTCTCACCCCAGGAGGTGATTCCACCTGAACAATTCGCAAACTGTGGTGATAGTCCTTGCATAGTGCAAGCAAATCAAAAAGTGCAGAAATAGCAATCTGCTTGACCATTTCAAGAACATGCTTGTTTCTTGTATTTGTTCTCATCTATTCACATTGAGTATATTTTTTAAAAAGTGTGAGACAACTTCTATAGTCAGCATTGCTATATATTCAGTGACTTCCACTATGCAGAATTAGTCCAGTCTAAACCCATAGATTTCAATGTGCTTAGGTTACAGGAGCTCTGCATAGGATTACATGCTCTGTAAACTATTATAAATTCATCAGCAATTTATTTGAAATAATATTTAAGCTACAAGCATTATTCATCAATAAATATAAACTCAATGTTAGAATTTGCTGAATCCTATTAGATTACAGAATT